CATGTGTTGTGTTCGCATGGAGTTCAGCAGGAATAATGTGCAAAGAATGAGGACAGAATATGGTCTGAAGTGGTGCTGAAATACTGCAGCTGTGATGTGTGACAATAACCATTTTATAAGAGACATAAAAATCTCAGAAATGTTCACCGAACACTACAGTGCAGCACAAGTCATCCACATCTTAACATGAGTACATTTTTTCAGCTATGCTATGGATAATATTAAAGATTGGACAAGCTAAGAAGACAGAAAAACCCAGATAAAGCTTCAGAAAAGACTGACACTCTCTGGACAGATAGAACAAGATCACAGAAATCTTTAGGTTGTCCTCAGTACAAGCTACCACTGATGACAATTACAGAGAGACCTTTGGTCAAAGGGTGTTACATAGGTTCCATTAGGGAAAAAAAAAAAGAGATACATTACTTACTTGCAAGTGAATGAAAGTCCTTTGTTCCTGCTGCATCTCTTGGCACATTGCTCAGTGGTATTTAACAGCTTGGTTTTTACTTCCAGTGTTTTGTTTACTTTAATGAGCATCAACTCTCCTGTTTTTTTGAAGTCATGAAGAGGATTTCTCCTTTTTCCTTTAGCCTCTAAGAAAGAAGCAAAAAAGTAAAAAAAAAAAACCCAAAAACACCACTGTAATGAAGACTGCAGAGACTAAAGATGGCATTAGATATGAATAACATTTATTAGGAATTATAGGAACATGGGTACCTAAAGCATAGAGAAATTCACAAAAATAAGGTACAAGCAGGTGGTTGAGAAGAATTGATTATTTTAGATGGTTATCTCCATTCTTGAAAAAAGGAATGGTAGGAATTATAGCAAAATTAATTTCAAATAAAAACTTGCATAATGCTAGAATAGGGTAAAAGGAAAGTTTTTCACCCTTTGTAAAATTTTTTCAGAACCCTCAAAATATGCCTGATAATAATAATAATAATCTGGGATCTTATAAATATTTCCATTAAAAACTCAAGTGAAAAAGATAACAAAGGTCTTATTTGGATGGACAGACCGTAGTTACAGTGAGAAGGAAAAGGATATAAATGTTATAGAGAATCACAATGTGAATATGATAAACTGTTCTTAAACTAGCAAACTATTATCACAAACTGTGAAAAGAAGTGGAGTCCGGAGGTGGCACAAAATAAGCATTTGTTGTCCCTCTGCTGCAGTGAAGACTCAGTGTCAGTGCTGTGTCCAGTTTAGGTCTGACTGAATTAGAGTTGTTCATCTACAGAAAAGAAGATGAGGGGAGGCAGAGGCCATAGCATGGAAATAGTCTGCACTGCTGCAAAGATTTCTGCAAAAAGGAACGCACTGATCTGGTTTCCATGTCTCTGTTGAAAGGCCCAGAGGAAAGAGTACAAAACGGAGCAGGGAAGATTGGCTAGAGATGTTTGGCTAAAGTGCAAGAGAAGTCTTTGATTTTTGCAAGAATAACCCACAATTTTCCCAATATGTACGTATATTTTTATTTTTTGTTCCGTAGAAACCAGTCTGCAAGTGTATGCTGCTGCATCACCAGTGAAGGCAGATGAGTACCTCTGGGGAGTGATTCTCCCTGTTGTGACAGACGAGTAACACAGGGAGGACAAATTACCCTTTGGATCTATTTCTCCTATTTCGCTCAATGATCCCAGACGATCAGATAGCTAATCCAGGTAAGGTTAGGTGAATGAATACCTCCTTAACTGACAAAGTAGATAACAGAATTTTTCATAACTTCTTTCCATATAACTGTTTTCACAGCTGTCCTTTCATTTTTCTCTATAGAATCTGCAACAATAATAGAACACGAATGCTCAGGATCAATTTATTAAATTTTGCCAGAGTCTTTCAAATATATGAAATCTCAGCCTAGCGCTCAGTTATCCTGAATAGCTAATTCCTCATGCAAGTGCAGAGTGCACTGAGGTCAGTTAACTTCTGCTTGGTGCACTCTGTGCAGCAGCTCAGAGTAATTCTGTGAATTGCAACAGCTGAGGCTCTGAAGGAGTTACTGACAGCTCCGCACGCTGTAGAGCCAAAGAGGGCTTAAGGGTGTTCCCTTTGCAGAACTTCAATCCTGATCATTTAGTGAGCTCACATTTTCACTGGATGCAGCTAAATCACACCTCTCAGTGGTGAGTTATCCCTAAGACACCTAAAAATACACCAAAGACATTTAAATTAGATTTCACCAAGCTTCAGCCTCTAAAAAAAAAAAAAAAGAAAATCAAAGGAGTAGAATATCTCTGCTGCAATGTCCCTATAAAATAATCTTCACCCCATCCTACTCTCCTCCTTTTTCAACTGCTGAAGGTGAACTGTGCTATTCCCCTACACCTAATAGCTCGCAATTTTAATTCAGAGTGCAAACATTTTCAGAAAAAAGAATTTATTTACCTCCAAATCCATGTTACCATTATATGAAGAAGCTTTAGATGAAAAGATCAAATATTAATAGTTTTGGTGCTTTTTTTTACTCATAGTAGCTCTCTTAAGCATTTTCAGCCTTGTATTTGTGCAGTGCACGTGTACTCAAAATGAGCCATTATGTTAGGGAAATGCTGTGAGGACACTCTTGCCTCAAGTGTCAGCCCCCTGTTACTGGAAGACATTGTGTCTACACTGAAGCTGTTTTATTTTTTGCCATACCTGTGATAGAGCCAAAGTGCTGCAAAAAGGATTGCATCTGCTGTTTAAGACAACAGAAAAACATGTCTTCTATAAAGCTTTTGTGGTAAATTTATCAATCTACTATTTTACAAGACATATTTGTTAGTTCTATGTTGTCTCAGCCAAGACTTTTATGTCAAATGGAGGTAAGAATCTGTACAGAAAAATCAAAGTATTTTCTTACAGTTCCTGATGCTAACATTTCCCATCTACTGATAAGTGTCATTATCTTAATTCCCAGTGATAACAGCTTCTTAAGCTCACCAGCTAGCATGCAAGAATATGATTAAAAAAATCAAGAAATTCTGTTCTGCCTGAAAAACACGGTTCACAGTTGTGGTTTGTTTTTTTTTTTCTTCTTCTTTTCCTAGCAGTTGTCCAAAGAGGATTATGGGTTTGATCTTACATTTAGCAATTCATAACAGCCTGGTTTACTTTAGCTTTCAAACAACAACATTCTATGACTTGCCTATAATCCAAAAGGCAAAGGGCCAAATGCATCTGTGATGTGACTCTTAGAACCATCAGAATACCGCAAAGTAGTACTTTTACAACTCTAACAATAAAATAAATGAAAATAAATAAGCTTTTTAAACTTCAAATTAGATGTTTTTATTATTAAAATTTTAATTAAAATAGTGCCCTAGAAATGTTCTACATTAAAGTTTATCCTGCAATATGCTATAACTATTGTTCCTCATTTGTGATTGCCATTCATTTCAGTTTCCTAAACTTTGATTTATCAAGACTTTGGGTTTTTTTGTGGACCATATCCTCTGATGTTTCTTGTAGTTGAATATCATATTACGAAGGGAGTCTGACATTCCACTTAAATTTGAAAATAATAGCAGCTGATTCAAACACAAAAGAATCCAGTCAAATAGGAATCAACTTTTTTTTTTCTTCAACAACCACTAACTGAAAATATTTCTTCAGTTGACTTACTAAATTCCTCCAAAAGGTGAGTGAGAGTGGTGCCTCTTTCTATTTTTTAACATGATAGCAACCTTGGTTGAACAGAAAAAAGAAGAGCTCAACCAGTGCCCAAGGAAATGGGAACGACCACATTTGCTCTAGTAGAATACAGCATTGGGCAAGTACTCCATATTCTCATTTGGGATTCCCACAGTCTCTGCTGGAGCTCTTCCATTTTCATAAAATGCTTTAAATATTTACTGAAGAAAAAAGGTTCCATACAGTGAAAGACATTTACCTGGGAGCTACAAGAACTCAACTTTGTGTTCCCTTTCTATCTTTTCATATGAGGTCTCAGATGCGAAGAATTAACTGAGACTGCTGAAACGATAGAGCATCTGGGGGGAAAAGATTTCAAACAATACCTTTTCTTGGCATGCCAAATCAATAATCAGAGGTATAGTAAATTATAATTCTACAGCATTTTTGTGAGAAAACTCACTTGTATGTTGCAGTACCTGTATTCCAGAACCTACTTAACTGCAATTTCATTTATACAAAATAGAACCAGTAAAACAGCATGTACTGAGAGAAATGGATGCCATAACATTCAGTACCATAGAAATTAAGACACATGCTTGATTAACAAGAGAAATAGGTTTGAATCAGCAAAGGTGTTTGTATTTTGACCTCTCCTGCTCTGCAGATATTTTCTAACCATTGAGCTTATGGCAAAATGGCAGCAAAGTAACTTCCTTTTTCTCTTCTGGCCCTGTCCCCCACACCAAAAAGGGCTTTGGGCTCCCACACCATCACACTACTCATCCTGAAACTGCCTGATTATGTTCTATATCTCAATTAAAAATTCACACCTTGCAGAGAACAATAGGTCTGATACTGAGCTATTTGAGAGTCAATGAATTCAGTTTAAATCTAGTTTCAGGCCATTTAGAGTTCATATACCTAAGCAAGTCCAGTTTCAAACTCTCGGGTCTTAGTCCACTAAATCCACAAAAAGGATTTGGTTTTGCATTATTTGTTTAGCAGCAATAAACTAATATAGCCAATATGATGCCTTTGTTGTGGTAATCAAAAGAGCATACAGGACATCAACAGGCCAAAAGATCACCTTTGCCCATTATAGTAAGATCAAAACGCTACTTGTATTGTCTACAGCAAAAGTTTACCATGAAATTATCTGACACTATCTACCTCAATGGTAATCCCTTTCTCCTTCATCCGTCACTCCAGCTTTTTCTAATATAGATATATATTTAGGCTTCAGAGTTACAGTCTTGCAGAGTACAACCGAAGCATACTGGCTGTCTCCCCTAGAAAAATCGCTGCTTTTATGGGCTTGTCATAGACTCTACGAAGCTTTTATTAAACAAGAGTAATGATGCATTTGGCGTGTCAGCTTCCAGGGTTTCCAAGTTTCAGTCTAGTCTATGCAATAGTTAGTGCTTTCTTAAAGAAACATGTCGTGAAGTCTCGTGATAATGTGAGAAGCTTCATTCCTTTCATTTCTTTCTAATTTTACATCCCACTTTATTATACAGAACAAACACATCAAAACTCAACACCAAATTTTCCAAATGAGAAAATAAATACATTTAAATTAAAGGTTTATGTTTAAATCAAGATTCTTAATGAAATGTTGATGGTTTGGTATGGAGTTTTATTTCCTTATCCTGTTTGTTTACACTTGCAGAACTTCAGCATTGTATTAGGTAGTTATTTGCTTTGTTGTGCTAAACTTTCAACTCTCTGGGGTAATGATTTTTATTTTTTTTTTCTATTGTTGTAATTGCTGATGTAAGTAAGTTGGATACAGGTCTTCTTCATACCATGGATGGAAAAAAGACCTTTTATAATTTTCAGTTTGGAAAAAAAATATGGACAGTCACATGACACTGTTCATTATGTTTGTTAGATGTCAGAGATAAACTAAATATTTGGGGAAAAAAAATAAATCAAGAAAATAAAGATAACTAAATTCCTTAGGCTGGAAGATACTGTCAGAGAATTGCAGGAATCAACTACAGGCCTTCCAAATAGTGCAATGAAATGCAAAATAAGATGGCACTGGGGAGAAAAATTACAAAAAGGGAAATTGTCCACACACTATGTAGGAAGCTCAAAGAAGCTGAAGATTCAAAATATATTCCAGTAAAGAAAATTGGTCTTAGAAAGTGTTACAAGTATTTCAGAAATATAGCACAGGCATAGTCCCTTTCTTTAGTATCCACTGGCATTTTAGATCGCTGTTTAATGTTTTGCATCATGTTTTTAATGAAATGAAGTCACTTGACCTTGAGCAGTTAACAGATGGACTAATTAGAAATTGAATTATTTGTGTTATAACTGATAACCAGGTCAGAATGTCAAAATGAGATTAGCTATTAACTTAATTTTTCAAATAATCATCACTGCAAGTCAAAGTAAACTGGATTTCCCCAATGAGCTAGAAAAAAAAAAAAAAAATTAATATGAAGGCTGAACTTCATGTGACTTAAATTTTAGGGAGAAAAAAAAATCAGAAATTTACCATCAGACTAAAGACCTTACAAAAAAAAAAAAAGGGGGAAAAAAGCCCAACCCTAAACACATCTGAAATAAATGCAGGAAAGCACAGTTCAACACAATAACTGTAGCAAACATTTTATCAGGGAACACCATACTCAACAAAAATTGCATGGTAACACCCAGGCAAAGATATTCTTAAGTATGTATATGAATGGAAAAAAAGAAACAAGCAAATGTTAAATCTCAATAAAATGTACAAAGCAAAAATCTGCAAAACCATGGATTATCACAGTGTCAGAAAACATTTTTCATAAGGGCTATCAAAGCTGAATGCTTATCTCAGTATAAATAGTGAAAATTTAATATGAAAATAAAAAAAAGAAAGTATGCTTAATGATATGCATAAAATTGCATTTGGCAAAGCTCGTGTAAGAAGAAAAACCAACAAGTAAGGTTTGAAGTAAAGCAACAGTTCTTGGCATACTTAGGTTGAAGGAAGTATGCAAATGCAGTGAGGTGTTTAAATTGTCTATAAAACGTGGTTCAAGGGATACTTCTAATTAAATTCAGTTATGTATTTCCAAGACAATGCTTTTCAAAGGATATAAAACATCATGGGTAAATTGCACATTGGTGCAGACCCTGCTAAGACAGCATAAATATACTGGCTTCATTAAGGAAAAAAACCCAAAACCTAAACTTGACCAGATGGTGAAAGTAGATGTAACTAAATGGTTTCAGACACCATGTGCTTAAGTTAAGTGTATGGTCACAGTAATAAAAGATGTTAAAGGTGAATGTTGATATTAAAATCATTAATAGAATCATCAAAGCATTGTTATCTATGAGAACAGTTAGGAAGCACTTTAAAGACAAATACATTCAAGGCCATTTTCTCTCTTAAAGGAAGTCCTAACAGAGTCACTTTGATAAAAAGAATTAATGCTCAGTGCTTTTAACTTACTTTTAACTTACTTTTATTTACTTTGACTTCTCCTTATGCCTGTTTCAGTATCAGAAATGTCCAGATTCCTGTCTAGAATGCAAAAAAGTGAACACCTTTTCCAAATGACTTCTCATTTGGTAAAAAAAAAAAAAAAAGGAAGAAAGAAAGACCAACATAATGAGAAACTGAAACAATTCTGAAATGTGCCCAAGAAAAGACCTTTGTAGATTGAATAGACTTAGATGGCAGATTAAGTTTAATGCGGTTATTTATGTAAGACAATAATTTGGCGTGAAAGAAGTTTACCAACCATACCCATAAAAACTGCAGTCAGCTGTATAGATGGAAACTC